GCACGACGCGGAGAACGTGCCGGTGAAATTAAACGGAAACGATTTCGTACGTCAATTAATGCATGCGATAATGAGATCGCGAGATTCTATCATTAATTGTCTCCAATTAAGAGCACGGGGTGCGGCTCAACGATGATATTTAATTGCACGTAGGGACAGTGGGCAAGCTCTTTGCGGACCGATGCGTAAAACGTACATTTATAATTGAATTTAATCCACGGGAAATGATGAGGAATAATGATCGTTGCGTCGGATTGTCCGAGTACTGCGAGAGACGGCTGCGTTTCCCGGAGTTTCCACAATTACGAGCAACGGCGAGCGAGCAGACGGATAGTTAAATAAGAGGATCTTTCCCCAAGTAATGGCAGATAACCAAAGCGAAGTTTGCGAGCGCGGAGTCGTCTGTCACCCGGAACTTCTTCTCGCTAATGGCACCGCGTGGCAGCGTTAAAGCGGGAGTTGGTGTCGCGTACTTTATGAAACGACATCGCGACGCTTAACGTCAACGGAGCTCGTTAATCGGACCAAGAAACCGTCTAATTATTCCGTTTGAGCAGAGTATTTTCCGAAACAGAGACCGCAAGAAGGATCATTGTGCGTCGCTTTTGCATTGTTTAAAATCATACAGCGTGATTGTTCTTTGTCGATTACTTCAGTACGTGTGCGAAATTGTTACATGCGCAGTAGCAAAGCCCGTTGGATGTATCATTAAATTCGAGTGCAGAAGGTTCGTTATGTTTATTCAATAAAGTAAAAAAATTTCAATAAAACCGAAAGAAATGATCCCCCAGGCTTCAATATACTCTTCTTCTCATCCAGAAAGAAATTCCTTTTTCGAGAAACTTCGGTTCTCTGACTTTATTTAATACAAAGGGCTCGATGGAAAAAGGAAACTTTTACACGAGTCTAATATAAATCGTTATAAGAAGTTATAAAGAGAACGACTGCTTGTTTATGAAACAACGGTTTAAAATTAAAATTTTATTAACGAATTATGCATTAATTACATATATTATACTATTAATACCTTCTTTGGCTTGGTTTAAAATCTTAGCAGTCAATTAAACATTGCTTAGTTGAGTGCGCTAGGATTTTGAGATTACGCTGTACATGTTATCTTAATGAAGCACTTACCGTTTACCGGTGTAGCTGCCCCTTTGTCTCCTGGAGGGATAATGAAGCGGATTATGGATTCGGAAGTTTGCCAGGCGTGATTTTCACGAAATGAAATATGCTCAGATACGAGATGATTCTCGTTTCAATCTCTTCCATCGTTTATTTCTATTCACAGTCAATAAATTAACATTTATCGTTGGAAATCATTACGAGAACCGAAAGACGATGAGAATTATGTGTGATTCGTGTGTGACCATCTATAAACCCCGCAATTAATCAATAAATACAAAATCAGCTTATAAAAAGGTACGACGATGCGCGCTAATTCGCGGCCGCGATTCGCCGTTTTCTAAATCTGTTGTGTTCTTTTATCGTTTTATTATTTTATGTACATTATATTCGTTAATCACGCGAGAAGAATGGACTAGACCGCTACGTAAACGCTTAATTTCATTCGACCCTAAGCGCCGCACTTCGTGGCGTTTACACGATCGACGAATAAAATTATTTATCTAAGCGATCGTTTCGCCGTCTCGGGGGGTCGTGCAAGGCGACGCTATAGGCCCTTCTTTCGTCAACGACTCGCTTCTTCTCCCTTAAGGGTACGCTTAAATTATCTATTTCGATTACTGCGCCTTGGGTCTACGATTAGAATGAATTTTACTTTACATCAAATGCTGCATATTTTTTGTTCTTCCGAGCTAAATAAAATCACTATCGTGTCTATATTCGTATTCTCATAAACTCGTTACTAAATTTAACATCGCGTCGCCTATACTCTCGCCTATACTCTCCCGCCCTTCCTTTCTCTCTCTTTCTCTCTCTCTCTCTCTCTCTCTCTCTCTCTCTCTCTCTCTCTTTCACACATCTTCTCTCACGCATACACACACACACACTTACTCACTCACATACACACACATGTACGCACACGCATATTCAATTTTCAATCATCTCTCTCATCCTTTCTCGCTGTTTCAGCCCTCCCTTTAATAACAGCCACTTCACTCATTCTCTGCACATGTTGGTACTCTCGATGGAACGGATAAACTAGCAGACATCACCGAAATCGACGTACCGTTTATCGGATACGTTCTCTCGGCGCCTCTCTTTTGGATCATCGGATCATCGCACAAACTCGATAAAAAAAGTGCCCGCTGATGGAGCTTACGCGCGGGCAGGACGCGACGTAAATCTCAATATTGCGAAATTCGATCTCGGCACGAAAATCGCACGCTGCGGCCGCGATCGAGCGTTAATCGCATTAATCAATCTCGACGTCGATGGAAGCAACTTGCGACTACTCGTTCGGTCTAATCACAGCCGATTTCCGGGCCGATCGGGAATTCATTGTCCCTCCTTCAATGCACTCCTCGTGCGATCGTAGCGCAATGATGTTGCAGAAGAAGCACGCTCTACGTTACATGGATGGCAATATTTGTGTAAAAAGTGTATGACGTGTGTCGTGCGAAACGTTTTCAACGTTAAGCTGTTATCGCGATAACATATTTTAAATACGATAAATATTGAGATCACGGCAGTTTCCATAATCTCCAATTCATCGATCGTATTAATTCATATGGAAGTCTCGCTGTTTGGCTTATATCCAATACATATCAATTCGTGCTGTATAGTTTATTCATTGCCTCTCTGAAGATATATCTAACACTTGCCGATTGTTATTCCTTGATCATCCAAAGTGATTAAAACCGTAAACAGCAATTGATTTTTTAAAATACTTTTTCAATTAACTTATCAATATATGACTTTATAGCGTTTATCGTAATATGGCATCGCGATAACTCTTTAATATTTACTGATCGCTTCCGCATGCTATCCGCCGATATTGTGTCGATCGTTCGTTCGCGGCGGGCGCGCGTTCCTCTCACGTACTTAATTTTCTTTCTTCTATTTTAATTAATAATGCGCTTCGTCGAGTCGTCGCTGCGTCTCGTAACAGTTAAAATTATTACTTACGATTTATTATTATCCATCGGGCTTCTCGGCTCCTCCCGCACCTGTTCTCGCAGCCCTGATTCTCTGATTGCGCTCCCGCGTCTCATAAATTCATCTATGATTTTACACTATACAAGAGATGTACATAAGATCCAACGGTACGATATAATGTGTCGCGTATGTATATTATAGTTTTAAGTTTTGGCAAACGGGCAAGATCAATACAAAACATCGTTATGTCCTACGCGTAATATTTCCTATGTACATACAAAATCTTTGTAACTTTCAACGTTTTCCTCCCGTGGCGTGGTCAATATACACACATGTACAGGTTTATCCATCGTGTCGAAGTACTGACGAGTCGCATCGACGATGGGGGATTGTCGGTCGTTAATAGTAAGCAAAGTCCGAGTGACAAATGCGGCGTAATGCGGCGCCGTTCCATTAATGGTGACTTCGGGTTCTCGCTACTCTATACAAAATTATATGCGAACGATGGAAAGTAAGTAGGAGATATTTCCTCGCGCGAGTCGATGTTCGAGTATCGGGCTTTATTGAAAAGTCGCGTAAATCAGCTAAGTAAGTGAAAAACGCTCGTAAGGCATCCTGTGATAATCCGCATTTACTCTATTACTGTTTAAGATGGATCCTCACGAGTCTGCGCGCCGTATTAAGCGAAAAATTGTCTCGAGTGTCACGGGACGATTCATAACTGTCTCGTTTGCGCACGTTTAACGCACGTCTTTTAGCGACGAGATCGAACGAACGTACAAAAAGCGAGTCCAAAATATACGAGATAAGAGATCGCCGTTCAACGAGAGACGAGAACTCGATAACGCTGGCAGTTTTTGACGAACGCTCGTCGGACGAGCTATATAGTATTTGCAGTGATTAATCGCGAGGTCGTCCCAGACAAAGATGAAACCGACAGATAATATCGAACGCGAAATCAAAACGGACGCATAACGTTATATTGGATCTTCATTCATGTTTCCTTTTTCTTTCTTTTTTATTTATTGTACGTAAATGGATCGCGACGACGATTCGCGTAACGCAAATGACGGTCGCTTGTTTTTCTTCTTTTTTTTCTACCTATTCAACTTTAATCGATCGTTATATTGCTACCGTATCACATAGTATTCGCTTATTATTAATTACACGGCTATACGTTAGGCGCGATGTGACTTGGCGGTTTCGAGATGCCGAGAGCTATTCGAAATGCATCTCGTTCGGACCGAAACGGACGTAAACGCGAAGAAACTTCGCCGATGCTCCGGGGAGCCCTTGTTACAATTGTTAAAATTTCGCTCGTTTCGTGGAATTCTTGTCTCAGTTCTTTCCCATTGCACATCCAAAGACACGAAGTAACAAAATGTCCCCCCCGACATTACTATCGGAGAGATATTACATCGAGAGAGATATTAGAACTTCCATTCGCGCTCGTGACAAGAATTATCAAACAAAGTGAGACCCTTGGTATTTTGCCAACAACAATAATAAGAAATAAGATATTGCTTTGATATAATATTTTTAATCGAGATGCGATTGAGCGTACGATAATTGTCGCAACGAGCGGACATAGCGACAACTATCAATTATTATATGTCGTTTGCAATTTCGTTAGAATTGCTTAAACTCTGTAAGTCATCCAAAATGGAAGAAATATCTTATCGCCAAGTACGCTCGTCAGGATCGCTAATTCGAGAACTATATCTCTCGTTGGATATAAAATGTCTGAGACATTTTGATCCCAATATTACCCAGATATTTCGTGGACGAATCGTAGACACCATAGTCTGAAGACGATCGTGATCGTGTAACCCTTTGAATCCGAACTCTAAGGCCGCTCCATTGCTCGATCCCTTTATTTCTTACCTTCGAGCTAAAGTCGCGCCACGACTCGTCGGCCTATAAATTTGTTGCGCCTTTCCTCATTGATAGCTCCCGTCGTTGTTTTGACTCTTACCGCCCTGGGAAGTTGGCGACGCTCTGCTGAAGCTACCGAAGGTCTTGGTCGGCGAATCCGATGCGGCGCTGGCGGTAGCGAGTACTTTGTCCCTAGGCGGAGGTGCCGAGCTAATGCTGGACGAGCTGACACCAGAGTCGCTAGATTTCTCGCTGAGACAACCGCGTTGGCTGAGGCCGGTGACATTGCCGGTGTTTTCAAGACCGAGATCACTGGTACCACCGATGTACTTGACGATACCGCCCAGTTTCTGGCTGCCTTCGCAAGCGTCTTCAATTACCACCGTCTCGCCAAAGTTGCCTCTTTTCGCGATGTACCGGACGTTGCCACCCCGCAGTAGAGGCGACTTGTCGAACTGGCTCTCTTTCTGACCCGCTACCGAGCTGGAGATCGGTATGTTAGGATGAAAGTCGTCCTTCGCATCAGTTAGACTGCCGTCCGTACCACCAGCACTGCTGGTGTTCTTCGTCATTGCCGTCGCGTTGTCTAGATTGTTCTCTCTCGGCAGCTTCGACGATGTCGTGGTTGATTCCGGGCTGATGGTCCGTCGACTGGTTGTATTTTTGTGTGCGTCGTAACAGCCAGAGTCCCGTGGAAACTGGCGTCGATTAAACGGGGAACAGTGGCCGGACGTCTGGCCGGAGGTTAAGACCAGACGACTGACCTCGTCACCCTCCGAACTCGAGGCCAGGTCACCCTCGCTGCCCGCTGTAAGAATAGGCAAAAAAAAAAGAGCGCACGCGCGTGTGAAAATTCGTGATTTAAACACCGATTTATTAATAAATTATTAGATATTAATAATTTTAAAATGCATCCGAAATATGTGTAAATATACATTTTTTATGTGTGTGCAATGCATTTCTATAACAATTTAATTCTCTTTAAATATTTTCATTTTTATAAAGTAAATAAAATTTGATGGAAAAGTTAAATAAAGTTAAATAAAGTAGAATAAAAATAAGATTAAATCAAAATAAAATATAAAGTTTAATTTTTTGAACATTTATTTATTATTGAATTTTATAAAATTAAATATTTCAAAATTTTTTATTTTCATATTCCACATTTATAGAGAGCGAGGTTTTAAGAGTTTAAAGTGACATTTTTTATCTCCTTTGTATTAAATAATAAAAGCGCTATCCCCTTTATATCAAATTACAATATGATTTTAAAGATGTATAACATGTATTAATTGTAACATGATATATGCAGTAAGACAAATAGTAACGATGATGAAAAGGGCTTTAGGGAGACGTGAATAATACATATGTAGCTGGTATACGTTCGGTATACTCACACTGAAGATCGTGTAGGAGTTGCACGGCGGTGAGTATCTTGGCACGATGCTCGGGTTGATGTATACGCAAATAGTCCAGATCCGCTGCCTCTAACTCCCTGAAGAGCTCCAGATCCTCGTATCCGTTCAGCACAAAAACTGGAATATGTTCCTGCGCGAGCGTAACATTCATCTTTGAGACGCTACCCCCATCTTAACAGAGCTTTGAATAGTTTACTTGTACAATGAAATGCGCTTGCAATTTAATACACTTGGAAGAAGCTTACGGAATTCTTATAAAATTATCTTAAGAAGCTTACAGAGAATTCCCTTCTCAGCAACATTTCTCACACTTTGATTGGAAAACGTTGGAATAAATGTTATATCTTAACGATTTCAATATAGATAACGCATTGCGAGTGAAATAATCTCAAACAGAAAAAAATTTTTTGGAAAGAATAAAAAGTACTCTTTTTATATTTCATAACGTAATTTTGTTCCTATTTACCTTTGTAATTTTTGTTAATTTTTTCTATTTGACTTTGTAATTCATGCGAGAAAAAAATTCATTTTTTTTTGCAAAATAAATGTTTTAATATAATAACAATAATGATAATAGTTATGTGATGGAACTATGCCTAAAAAGCAAGATAAAAGATCTCCATGAGTTTGATTTAGTACGAAAGCATTATAATTATAACGGAGTCACACTTTAAAGAATTTTAATTATCTTGTGATCTTTAAGATATTCAATAATCAAACATTTCAGACGTTACTGTATAGTTACGCGAGTTTTAACGACAGTCTCAAGCAATCAGCCGGGAAGAGGATACTTTGGATCTCCATCCGCTGATATAATTCGCACAGAGGGCCATTCGGGCTTCAATTAAGTGTACACCGAGACCCTGAAAAGGCGCACACGAATCTGTGACGCTCATTAAACGATCGATCATAGCGGCTTAATTAAGTGGCACGGCTTCCTGAATCGGAAACGACGTTTCCGGTACAGCGACTCCTCGCCCTATCATTTTGTCCCATCCCTTCCTGTCGCTTCCGTACCTTCGACTCTGGAGACTCTGCGAGACACGCCTCTTGACAGTGAATCACGATCGAGTCTAATCTGTCGTCGAATCGCGAGACTGTACATAATATCCGAGGAAGCTACCGAATGTGCTTTTAGTCGTAAATTTTATGATGAACTTAAAGTCAATTCTTTCTTCTAAAGATAATTGCAAGCAACATGTAATTATAAACATTTCTGACGCGCAACACAAAAAAAAATATTGACATAATTAAATATAATAAAATCTAAAATATACAATATAATAATTTAAAATTTATGTATTAAAGTTTGAAGTATAAAATTTCTGTTAAGATAAAAATTAAATTAAATTAAAAATAAAATTTGGTTGTCTCTACTTAGATTCTTGGAACTTGTTAATTCCATAACTATTGATACTTTCATATGAAAACAATTGCCAATTTTGATAATAATTTGATTTTTAAGATTTGCGATTGGAAAGATATATACGATGCAGTTTCAGGATATTTTGTATACAGCGAGCGTTGGAGATAAATCAGAAAGAAAATGAATGACCAAAAAATGAGGTAAAGGAAATACCAGGACGTACAGCAGGTGAGGATAAAAATGAGCAAGGCGTAGACAAGAAGCGAGAGTTGGAGAGAGAAAAGGAGATGAATAGGAAGGAAGGAATCGAACAAAAAGGACTCGTCACGCTTTGCGGGACCTGCAAGTTGTATAAGGTATAAGCTGGAAAGCTGATGCGATGGTACGGGAGGACACGAGAGACGGGAAACGGGGAATGGGAGCGTGATAGGGACACCGAATAAAGAAATATATAAAAGCAAGTTCTCTACTTTGCATTCGACGCCATGCAAATGCGAATCAGTTTGTTCGAGCCGCGGCGAGATATTACTCTCCCTCCCACCC